TATATATATATATATATATATATATTCATTTCACTTTATTTGTGTGTATTTTCTTTTTTGGGGGTGTTAGTTATTTTATCTCAATATGTCTGTATTTTTAAACCAATAAAGGACCTTTGCAGACTGCCAGAAATAGTGCAAATTGAGTCCACTTTAACTGCCCTGACTCAGTGCTAAGGAATCATGGGAACTGTAGTTTATTGTGGCACCAGAGCTCTCTGACAGAGAAGGCTCAATGTCTCAGAAAAAAATACAGTTCCCATGATTCCCTAGCACTGAGCCAGGGCAGTTAAAGTGGACTCAGTTTGCACTATTTCTAGCAGTCTGCAAAGGCAGAAACTTAATTTTAAAAAAAAGAAATTAAGACATCATTAGCCCATGTAACGATGGAACAAAATAGGAAACTGTGGGGTGGGAGGGGAATTGGGAATTAGGGCTACAGAAAGGTCCAGGATGTCAACTGTATTTTTCCTATACATTGACCATAGAATTGCGCCATAGAGGAGCTACAAATGCCTAATGGAGTGTTTGTTCTCTCTAGGAATCTCTAGATGACCTTCAGTGAGACTTTCAGTTAAAGTTGACCATAGAGTTGTGCTGGAGGACTTAGAGATTCCCAGAGAGAACATATTAATACAATCCATGAATAATCAAATTCACAAGAGTCAAAGCCGCAAATGTGATGGGACGAGTGTACTTTCCAAATCCATTCTTTTGCTGAGGGTACCTCTGTTGTTTTCTATTATTATTATTATTATTATTATTATTATTATTATTTTGCTAATGTCAATCTTGCAGCTGTAATCATATACAACTACAGTCTACCACAGTTCTTTTCTATCTCTTTTGGTACCTTGTTAATCCTATTTAGTAAATATATTTCTAGTAACAAATTAACATTTATTTTAAAAATCTCACATATTGCTGTATGAACATTTCTCCAATAGGACCTAACTTGAGTACAGTTCCACCTGAATCTGTACACTGAAACTGTTTTGGGTATTTCACTGTTTTTTTATTCCCCTTCTTCCCAATGTTGTTGCTGAATCCAGTTGTTGTTGTTGTTGTGTGGGTCCTCAAGTCGTTTCCATTTATGGCAACCCTAGGGCGAACCTGTCCTGGGGTTTTCTTGGCAAGATTTCTTCAGAGGGTTTTTTCCATGGCCTTCCCCTGAGGCTGAGAGAGTGTGACTTGCCCCAAGGTTACCCAGTGGGTTTCATGGCTGAGTTATGGGGACCCTATCCTGGGTTTTTTTTGGCAAGATTTGTTCAAAGGGTTTTTCCCCCATGGCCTTCCCCTGAAGCTGAGAGAGAGTGACTTGCTCCAAGGTCACCAGTGGGTGTCTGTGACTGAGCAAGGATTCGAACCCTGGTTTCCAGAATCGTATTCCAACATTCAAGTCACTAGGCCAGCCTAGGAAGGGAAATAGTTTTAAACTCATGGCAGTTAGAGTGGTGTCAAAGAATCATAAGGCCTTTGCAGACTGCCAGAAATAGTGCAAATTGAGTCCACTTTAAGGGTTAGGGTTAGTGCTAGGGAATCATGGGAATTGTTTTTTTTCTGAGACATTGAGCCTTCTCTGTCAGAGAGCTCTGGTGCCACAATAAAATACAGTTCCCATGATTCCCTAAACCTAACCCTTAAAGTGGACTCAATTTGCACTATTTCTGGCAAAGGCCCATAGACTGTCAGGAAGTTCCTCCTAATGTTTAAGTGGAATCTCTTTCCCTATAGCTTGCATCCATTGTTCCAGTTCCTGTTGTCTGGAGCAGCAGAAAACAAGCTTGCTCAAATATAACATCCCTTCACATATTTAAACAGGGCTATCATATCACCTCTTAACCATCTCTTCTCCAGGCTAAACATCCCCAGCTCCCTAAGTCTTTCCTAACAGGGCATGGTTTCCTGGCCCTTCGCCATTTTGGTTGCCCTCATTTAGACATGCTCTAGTTTGTCAACATCCTTTTTCAGTTGTGGTGCCATGCGAGAAGACACCATCCAAACCCTCCCTGTGACAGATGGCCATCCAGCCTCTGTTTAAAAACCTCCAAAGAAGGAGACTCCACCACATTCTAAGGCAGGATATCTCATTTTCAAACAGCTCTTACCATCATGGAGTTCTTCCTAAGGTTTAGGACAGATGGACTCTCTTTCCCTGGAGCTTGAACTCATTGCTCCATGTCCTCATCTCTGGAGCAGCGAAAAACAAGCTTGCTCCATCCTCAAAATGACATCCCTTCAAATATTTAAACACCTCTTAACCTTCTTTTCTCCAGGCTAAACATGTCCAGGTCCCTAGGTCTCTCTTCATAGGGCATGGTGGTTTCCAGACTCTATCACAGGGTTTTCTTGGCAGGTTTCTTCAGAGGTGGTTTGCCATTGTCTTCCCCTGAGGCTGAGAGCATGGGTTTTATAGCCAAGCTGGGAATTGAGCCCTCGTCTCCAGAGTCGTAATCCAACGCTCAAACCACTGCACCACACTGCTCTGGCCCAGTCCTGGTTGGGTGGGACAGTACAGCTGATTTCCATAGATAGCTGCTGTTGTTGCGTGCCTTCAAGTTGTTTCCAGTTTATGATGACCCTAAGGCGATCCTATTTCTTGGCAAGATTTGTTCAGAGGAGGTTTGCCATTGCCTTCCCCTTTGGCTGAGAGAGTGTGACTTGTCAAAGGTCACCCAGTGGGTTTCACGGCTGAGCCAAGTTTCGAACCATAATTTTGGCCCCCAAACCTGCCCTCAGCTTATACATGAGGTCAACTTATCGTTGAGTATATATGGTAGGCCTCCTAACATGGAGAGTAGCCTTGTACTAATTGGTCTATGTAGCATAGTCTAGTATTGTCAACATCAACTAGCATTGGCTCTCCAGGGTTTCATATCTGTTCTTCCCAGACATTCCTTCTGTTCTTCCCAGACATTCCTTCTGATGTCAAGTTGAATCCTGGATCTTCTACATGCAAAACATGTTGTTTACCACTGAGCCATGGCCTTGCCTCTTACTCTTTTTCAGTTAATATCTCCTTTATTTGTATTGTAGTGCTAAGCTGCTAAACAGAAGATCTGTTCAGGGCCATCAAACATTAGAGATTGCAAAACTGGGGTCAGATAAGGAGGTGAAAGCCGAGTCTTCCAGAATGAGGAGCTTTCATCAAATGTCACTAAATGCTGGCAAAGCAGAATTGGATGCTGAGACCTATTTTTACACCAGCCCTGGGATTTTATTTTTTGTAGATTTCTCCCATTTAGGCGGCTTATTTCTCTTACTAATTCCCTTGGCTTTCTTTCAAATCCTTAGGTCCCCAATGGTATGCCGGTTTCTTGTTTCACAAAGCTGTTTATCCATGATTTGCTTTTTTTAGCATGGTATCAGTAAAGGCAAGACTAATTTTATTTTGGGCTGAGAGATTTGAGTATCCTGGTTGTAAGGAAAAGTGGTAGTAATAGCAGCAGCAGGAAGCCATTCCCCTCCTGTCCTGGACTAATTCCATTTATCCTTTAAAGGCTGAAATGGTGTTCTTAAACTGCTTGAATGTTTGTGAGAACACTCCAGGTCAATCTGAACTAAATCAGGGATTAATGTAGCATTGCAAGAATCTGCCGATGAACTTGCTTTAAAAGAGGGTAAATAATTCAGCTTTGAACCACTGCTTAGGTCCAGCTCAGTGAATTTGGGAATTCTTCACCTTTAAGGTTCAAATGGGGAGTGTAATAAGAACTGTAAGGGCAGAAGTAGAGGGTATATTAAATGTGTAATTTTGTAGGTGGGCTTTAGTGAACTATTCGGCATTCTTTTGTCTTCCTGCAATTAATATATCATTTTGATTCCTTATTTTCTCTTACAGTTCCTTTAAAATATAGTTGCCTTTAAATTGTCCCCTCCTTACCCTGCTGCCCTCAGTTTGCAATAGCTTACTTCCCAGTAATGCTACATACCTTGGCAGCCCCCCAAATATGATCTTGGAGGATAGTACTGACAAATCCTAACCTAGAGTTCTCCTTCCTACTCACTCACTCCTCTCTTCATTAGGCTGGATATTTCCCATGTCCACAAAGGGTTCCATGTAGCTGAATAAAGAAATCAAATCTCAGGTAAAGTCTTGCCAAGGCCTGTATTTTCAGCATGGTTGTTTTTATAGTTGTTCACAGCTTATTTATAGAAGAAACTATAATGTTATACAATAATAGAATTATAGAGTTGGAAGAGACTACAGGGGCCATCCATTCCAACCCCATTCTGCCATGCAGGAACTCGCAGTCAAAGTATCCCCTGTGACAGCTGGCCATCCAGCCTCTGTTTAAAAACCTCCAAAGAAGGAGACTCCACCGCTCTCTGAGGGAGTGTGTTCCACTGTCAAACAGTTTTTACTATCAGGAAGTTCTTCCAAATGTTTTCCTGTAGCTTGCATCCATTGTTCTGTTTTCTAGTCTCTGGAGCAGCAGAAAACAAGTTTGCTGCATCCTCAGTATGACACCCCTTCAAATACTTAAACAGGGCTATCATATCACCTCTTAACCATCTCTTCTCCAGGCTAAACATACCCAGCTTCCGAAGTCTCTCCTCATAGGGCATGGTTTCCAGACCTTTGTCAGAACAGGTAGATTAATACTGATTCCAGTCCAATGTCCTCAGTTGTAGCTTTTCAGAATTACTTCCTCTTGTTCCTCTCACACTGTCCCATTGCTAGGGTGCAAAATAATTTAGCATAAAGCAGCTGCTGGCTTCCTCTCATATGACTTTGAAATACATTAAACACTTGGGGAGGGGGTTATTTTGATCCATGCAACCATTTCCCCCCCTGCACAGATTGAATGTGATTGCATTGAATGTGTTGTGTGATTGGAATTCTATCAGCAGAAATTGCTGAAAGACACTTAATGAGTTTGTGGATTTCCCCTCACGGATCTCAAGGCATGCATGACAGAGATTGGAGCTCATTGTGGCAGATTCACATGAATGGCTTGCCCTAAATACCCAATATAACTTCGTCACTTTTGGTTTTTATGCTTTCGCCCAGAAAATGTCTTCTATCATCCCTAGCTCTTATCGTTTAAGTAGGTGATACTAGTCATGATAATAGAATTAAAAATGCTGATTGAAATGGTGATTAAAGAAGGCCATATGTTTAGAAATGAGTAGCTGTTATGAGAAATACCTAACTAGGAAAAATATCTTAAACCCTGGTACTCTGTTTGAGGCTGCGATATTGGGTAGAGGCATGGGTACCCGAATGTCTGCTATATCTGTAATAAATGTCAGGCATTTGTAGGGGATGAGGCCATACATATTAGTTCTTCCCCCACCATTTCCATCTCCATGGGAAGACATTTCAGTGTGAAGATTTTAAGGGGGATTCATTTGAATATGTTTGGAGTCCTGCTTCAGAGTTTTGATCTGAACATGTGAAGGTAAGAAATGGACTCAGTATTTGTAGGCACATTTGTGTGGGTCATATCTTTGTTCCTTTTCTGCAGTTTGGCTTCTCAGGCATACAAGAGAAATGTGGAATAGGCAACTACGTATTTTCAGAAGACTGATACCTTTGACTTAAAATAAAAAATAAGGATAGGTAAATATTTGCAGATAAACCATGCACTAGAAACAGATCTTCTCAGAAGAAATAAATGTTCAGCTCAGTGGTGCATCCTCCCAGATAAGCAGGGTAAAAGATTGTTGTAGCAGGCAATAGTTTATTCACATATAGTCTTGTTATTTTGGAGTAAGCTCCAGTGGACCTAATGGGATTTAATTCTGAGTAAACATGCATGAGCGTGTGCTGTAAAGCTGTTGCCTGATAATTACAGCATTTTAAGCAAGCTCACTGAATACGACTCTTGCATAAATTTGGTAAAATGTCATGTTGATTTTAGGCGGGCGACACTCCATGTAGGAATCAATGGCTTGAAGCTGTACAGAGAAAAAATAAAGAATAAGGAAAGGAATAATTTGTCATTTCCTCTTTATCCAAGCTCATATTTGGGAAATCATTTCTTTTTATTCATACGTATTATAACTGAGTTGGTTGTTGAGGTATACATACAACAGAGGTTAATTACATAGACTGGATGTAGTTCTTCTCTTTTAAATTAGCTAATAGGAAATGTCTAAATAATAATTAAAAAAACCCCAATTTGTTTCATGAGAACCAAGTCTGAGGAAGCTGTCATTATACTTTTGGATATTGTCTTTACTAATGTATGAAAACTGTCAATTATTTACTGGGGTGTACATAACATAACTAGGCATATATAGGTAGAAATTAAAGTAGAAAGGATTTGCCAGATGATCCTCTCTTTCTGTTCTGTTATTCAAACCCTGAAGATACAGAGAGTTGTTTGGAAAGATTGTCTTTTCAAAGTCCTCCAACTTTTGCACAGTTATAAGCTGGTGCTGACATGATTAAAATGTTCACACATGAACAAGAGTTTCTTTAGAACATATTTCTTTATACAAACTCATTGCCTATGTTCAATAATCATTGTTTTAGTACCTTCTGTGAAATCTCACTTTATTTCTTCAGAGGATTTGGAGCAGAGATTTTATTGACTGGAAATTAGTTTCCAAGGGTCAAGCCTTTGTCTCTGTCTTCCATAGCTTCATCTCAAGGAAAATACCTTTGCCAGTCGAACCCCTATTATGTTGAAAAATGAAATACGTTTTAAATAGCACAGATTAATCTTAGTAATTAAAATTGGCTTGTGTGAAAAATATCAGTTCAAACACCTGTTATTTAACCTCTTACTATTTGAATAGGTCTGATAGAGCTTACTGTTTTTTGTCTTTAAAACTTTTCCTTCTTTGTCTGTTCCATCTGATCTTGGAAGCTAAGCAGTTTCAGCACAGGTTAATACTTGGATGTGAGACTGCCAACATACCCCAGGTACTGTAGGAGATATTTCAGAAGAAGGAACTGGCAAAAGCACTTCTGGATATTCCTTGCCTAAGAAAACCCTACAAAATTGATGGAGTTGCCATAAGTCAACAGGCGATTGGAAAGCACATTTGTGGCTTTTACTTTGCAGTTTTGATTATTTGTGGTTTTGATTAATATAGTCTCTCTAGGAAACTCTCAGTCCTCCAGCGCAACTGTGCCAGAAGTTGACCATAGAGTTGTGTTGGAGAACGTAGATGTTCCTAGAGAAAACACTTCTCTAGGCATTTGTAGGTCCTCCAGCATGATACTATGATCAACCTCTGGCCAGTGTTGACCACAGGATTGAACTAGAGGACCTGGAGATTCCTAGAGAGGTGTTCTCTTAGGTCAAAAGAATAGTGTTTTTTTAATTTGCAGTTTTTCCACATTCGTGGGGGTCCTTCACCCCTAACTGCAGTAAATATGGAGGGAACACTGTACATAAACAAATGGAGGCAAATTCTTTGTTTATCCTTAACAGAATCAAAACCAGTTTTGGGCAAACTGTTAGGGCATTTCTTGAGAGCTGAATGGATGGATGTCAGTTTAAATCAGAGAGCATGTAAATTTTGTTT